CTGCACCCCACCAACCACCAGCCCTTCCAGATGTGCTCCAACCGTCCTACCCCACCCTCAAGGACGACGCCCCTGAAGCATGGACCGCACCCTCCATCCAACAATGGATGCGGTCCTTTGAGCCCAAAATCCAAGAAGCCGCTCAGGAAATCTTGCGTCTACTCCAGACTAGCAAAGTTTCCACTGACCAGCTCAAGGAGGCCGCGACCCGCTACGGGCTCCCACTGGTTCGGGTGAATAAGCTCTCGATCAAGAGCCGCCAACACATCGTCAGTGTGGGGGCTGCCATCGCATGCTGACTAGCCCTGACCAGCCAACATCGGCCGCACCACAATCAACTCCACCAACTCTTTCGTTTACACCAAGCCCTTTCCACTCTCATCCATTACAGCCAATATATTGAACGTGCCGAGGCCCTCTTTGCTGTGGGCCTCATCCACCTCACACTTCTCTTTTGCTACCCTTCTTCTACCCAACGTTCCCAGCAATGGCGTCAACGACTTCAACACCTTCGAATCCAACCTCACACTTACCACTATCACAACTTTCTCTCATCCAATGCTGTGTATGTCAAACTCTAGTTCAACCCCACGACCCCACAACGCTGCTACCATCAGCACGGCCACTTTTACATTGGCTCTACTGGCATCGGCATCCCACACAGAGAACACAACCGTCGGGCAAAACTAAAACAACTGCAGAACAACGTTCCAATTTCCGCAGAACTCTCCCTTCGCTACTGGCATTCCCACAACAACATCCACCATTTCACACCCATTCAGCTTTCTTCACATGACACATACGATCAAGCTTGGATCCAAGAACATTACCTCATTTCCAACTGGGTGCCGCCACTCAATTGGCCTTTCATCTCCCACCACCTCAAGCTCAAAGCTCAAGGTTGGCAGTTCACTAAACACCGAGCCCACTTCTACTCCCGCCTGGCAACTCACAAGCGACTTTTCCGAAAGCTCCGCAGACGGCAGCATGCCATTCATGAACCACATCTCTTTACCTCCACTCGATTACACTCCCTCACTCTTCTTCGCAACCTCACCAAACACACACGGGCATCCTTTGAAGCAGCCAAACAATTACGTAGCGGCAAGCATACTGACCTGGAAGTCTACGCCATCCGACGAATGGCATCCAACTTGGAAGAGCCTGGCCGCAGCAGAGCGCTCCACATCATCAACCAAGCCCTCCAGTACCGCAACCTCAGCCCACCCAAGCCCAACATCCCTCTCACCGTACCATTCTTGGCCCACGAGCAGTTTCCCAAGCACTGTGAGCAGTGGCTGAAAACCACAATACAGCACCACAAGCACCTGGCCATCCCGCTCCACCTGCCGACTCACCGTTTGCGGGAAGCAGCCCACAAGACTCTTCGGGCCCATCTACACAACCACCGCACCTGGGAGGGTACGCTCTCAAGCCCTCCGACCTCCAGTGACCTGCCACATGCGCATGCGCCCACCTCAAAACCATTCTCCTTGATCCAGACACCCCCACAATCGGCAACCACTACATCCTCACCCTTGAACATATCGCACTACCACCACACCTCCGCATATTCTTGGCAGCCAACATGAACAGCACTTTTTACCCCAGCAAGGCCAGGTACTTCCTTGCATTCCAGACGGCCTTCACAAAATGGCTGCGCACTCAAGGCCTTCCACCTTCTCTTTCACAGCATTTGGAACCCTTCCTCCAGCACCAATGGCGGCTCCATACTGACCATTTGAAACACCAACCCCGATTCACAGCCCGCCTTCTCCGGCAACTCCAGGAATTCCTGGGTGACCAAGTCGTCCTTCACCATGCTGATCACGAACTGCAGCAGTTACGCATCTTCTGCCCCCGCCAATACTTCACCGGGGCGCTGGCTACTTGGCAGTCGCCGGAACTCTTTGCCCCCATGCCAACACTCCAATTGTCCAACATTCACGAACACTTGACACAGACTATCCCCCCCAGCCTCCGCACACGCTACAAATGGGGCTTTAGAAAAGACTTCACAATACCCTACGGCATTGTACACCTCAAGGAGAAAAAACAGTGGAGCAAAGGCCGCACCATTATCTCATACTTCCAATCCTTGAGCGGCAACCTCCTCCGCATTACCAGCCGAGCCCTTGACATCATCCTGCAGCGCCTCCTTCCTCAGCATCCGGGCCAACTTTCCATTCCACAACTGCGGTCCCACTTTCACTGCTACCTCACCGAGACAGTGGCAACGCCAGAACCACACCCACACGCTTACTGTTGACACCAAAGCCACCGGCAACCCTTTTCACCATTCTCACATCGGCAGGCACCACCGACGCCACCCTACACAGCGTACCATCCACACTGCGGACATTACAACCATTGTGGCCTATGCACTTGACACTTGCATTTTCCGGGCATGCAACAACACTTACAAGCAAATTCGGGGAGCTGGGATTGGCCCCCAGCTCTCCCCTGCCCTTTGCAACGTTGCCATCACCCTCATCGAACATTCCTGGCATCAGCTTCACAACAATCTTCTTCAACACACTGCACTCCACTTCGCGTACTATCGCTACGTGGACAACCGCTTCATCGTCCACAATGAACAATTCCTTTCACATCCCGCCATCCAGACCCTCATCCACAACAACTTTTTCGGCGATCCTGTCGAATTGGAAACGGTGGAAGACTTTCACCTTTTGGGTTTCAACATTGACCTCCAGCAACGTACAATCACATACATTCAACCCACCCAATCCTGGAAAATCCGGGACCACACCAGCGCCGGTAGCCAGCGCTTGGCTCTGTCCGGCTTAGCTTCAAGACTTCACTCCATCTATACCTACACATTTCCACCCAACAACGCTACCGCTGCGGCTGAAGCCCTGGTCAACCTCTACGCCCAAAAAGGGCATGACCTGCAAGCGTGCAGGCGGTTTTTGAGAAAAAAGATCCGTTTTTCCACCGTGCATTCTGTGCGCCGATCACGGCGTCTTGTGTGTGTCACCCCCTGGTTCTAAGGGTTTCCCCACCTTCACCACTTTTCCACAGGCAGGGGGCATGGCAGCTGTTTCCCTAGCCATGCCAACGAAGCTATGGGACTCAGCCGGAAGGGAATGTGGACGCACATTCCTGTACCTGCGACAACTGTTGGATCACGCTGTTTCCAATCTGTCTTTTTTTGATTCATGGTGGTTGCATGCTTCCTCCCATAAACAGGTTTCCCACTGCGTTTCTCAGCTGTGCTCATCACCGCATCGACTGTACAGATCGAAACCATGTTCAACCATACGGTTTTTTGCGGAATTATGCGCCTTTCCGTTCCCTCACCTTCCTTCCCAACGTGGCAATTGAGTCTAACTGAAAACCCAAGTTCGAAGTGTGTCCGTGCGTGTGTATGACTACCTAACACTCTAGAGTTACTCACTACTTAGCAGAAGTGAATTAGGTGCAATAGTTAGGGAGCGGGACTTTAGTCTTAAACCGCCCGGGTAGAGTAGACTAGAAAGGGACAACAGAGGGAAAGTCACCGACACACAAGTGTGTCGAGTAGCATTTCCCTCTTACCTTAATTAGAGGGAGGGGGGGTTTGGGGGTGTGTGGGTAGAGAACGCGTCTGGGTTAATTCTCCGTAAGCCCGGCGGCTTAGAGTTTCCGTGAAGCCCGGCGGCTTTGATTTTGAGAACACAATAGTGAAACGAAAATCGGTTAAGATAATCCAACGAGTGCAGAAAGCAGTAAAGTCAGCTAGTGGGAATCCGGAATGAAATCAGCGCCCCAGTGACGGGGGTCACACTGTGCACCCACGTGGGACGGCACAGCGGCGCACACTTTGATATTGGATTTGCAGTTAACTCAGTTCCCAGGTCGAAAAGGGCGATGGAACAGAAAGGTGGCAAGGTCCGCAGAAAAGTATTGTTTAACAAAGGTTTACGCAGTTTACGCTCATCTACAGCTCACGACACGGCGGTGGCGAAACGAACGGCGCGGCTCATCGGCAGGAAAAGGTTTTGGGGAGGATCGTGCAAGGACCATGAACCAAAAAAATGGAGAAGTGGAGTCACAGCTTTCTCAAAAATTCTCGCAGGTACACAGTGGAGCGTCCACCACTGTATCAGCACCGACTGGCACCCTCTTCGTTGGACGGGCGGTGCCAGTGGTGTCCCGTCCCTCTGCGTGTTGAAAACTCTTGGAAACAGAGTGTGGCACACACAGACCCCACCCACGCACGCACGCACGCACGCGCGCGCACGCGCGCACGCACGTTGTACATACCTGGGGCACCAAAGCCTAGTTTGTTGAAGAAAGCACGTGTGCATGTGCACAAACTAGGGTGCACTCTGGGCACGTTCTCCACCAGCTGGGTGGGCGAGACAAGCCCCTGGTCAACAGGGCCACGGAGGGCTCTTCGGGCTCACTCCGGGCTTGCGCGAGGAAAGACCCACGCAGGATAAAAGAACACGATATGAATGCCGCATGCACACACCGAGCTAGGTATGAAAACCTAAGGGTAGTTCAGGAGTATGAAATCATAGCCAAAGCAGCTCAAAACCTAGAGTCAGAAATCGAATTTAAGACGCCGAAGCCACAGTCGAGCAAACGACGAAGCCGGCGGGTGCACCTCTGCAGACCATCATCCTGCAACAGCCTGAGAACCTTTACGAGCGAAAGGTGATTGCAACACTCACAAACATAGCAGGTCCACGAATGGACGTCTCCATCCGCTTCCCCTGCAGCCATTTAGCTTCCTTGGACAAGGTTCATCCAGAAAGAACAAGTACCCCATGATGGCGTCGACTCGATGACTTCAACTATCTTTATGATCTTTATGGATGTTCTCAATGAATCTCAAGGTGCTATCTCATATTCGGGCAGCATTTCGGAATAGGTAAACCATGTCAAGGGACTCCTGATTGCCAGCCTTTGTGAAGACATCGGTCACCATGTGGATTTAAACAACAAGCTAGGCTCATCGAACCTCTCCCTCCGAGTCCTCCGATTAGCCGCGCCTCATTCACAGCCAGACACCACGGAAGTCCATGGTCAACTTGGATCTCCTGAGCGTTCACCAGTTGAGCAATCCGTTGCTTTGTTCCTGCTTTCCCTTTTGTTTCGCATCTTTTGCATACCTATATATTTCATCCATTTTTCATCCTATTTCCTCTTTTTCCCAGCTAGGATGTGATTTGTTTGCCAGGACAACTTGGTCAAACAGAATTCAAGTGTCTCTCTTTAGTCTGCAGAGGCCCTGGCATTCCGAAACCGAGTAAGAGCAACTTTACACTGGTGTGATTGGTACACAAACAAAAGCACTCTGAGTTCTGCCCAGCCTGCAGCTTTTCCCCACTTTCCGGATGCCACTTGCAGATACATCGACTTCGATCTGCTGAAAGGATCAGTCCTCAGCTTCGCTTCGTCGAGCGTACATTCGCACAAAGTCGTGTTTCGAAACAGCAAACAGCATGCGTCCAGCTTCGGCATGGCTGCATCATAACATTATATTACATATATATATATATTATTATATGATATTACATTGTTTTAGATTATATTATGCATTCAGGTGAAGCCTTGATTCCCCTGTACTTCCACACGTCCATTGCGTATGGTATTGTTTGGATTAACATGTTGCTTGGCCATGGGAAAATACTGTAAGTGTCAGTTTCACATTGTTTCATCACTGATTTCATCATGTGTCATCCACATTTTTTGAAGAACTCATCAAACTCATCGGTTTGAGTCTCTGTCGTGCAACGAGCAGATCTCGCCAAGATTCCATCCGGTGTCAAACGGACGCAGGTGACCGCGCCCGAGCACTGCAGTCGTTGATGCTGTTCCAAAGTATCGGGGTTCCAGAGCACCACCTGAAAGGTGCCAATGAGAGGAATGGCACACCTCAACGCCCTACACGTCCTAACAAACTCCAAGAGTAGATTGACAATTGGCAAACATGTGCAATATTTGCAACATAGCGTGATTCGTGCCAAACCCCTGGAAGAAGACTGCAGTTGCATCCATCAATTACACCCGTGTCCTATAATGCATATCTTTCCGGGAGTTTCTTAAGACGCGTGACGACCGCTCAGCCGATTCCATCAAGTCCCACTTTGTCTTGCACAATTCCTGAAAAGAATGCAAAAACATTAATGTCATTGGCAAATCACCCAAAAAGACTCATCACCAAGGTTCTCGTCCCGTGGTGTTCTTCTGATCAAAGCTGCCATCTCCAGTAATCGCCACCCGTAGCGCCGGGGCAAAGGCTAAAGACGTGACCTCAAGATATCGCAAAAAGGTAGCTGGAAAGCTGGTGGACAATGGCTATTAGGTTGGAGGCTAATAGGTCGGAGGCCCTCGCTTCTAGGTTGGAGGCCATTGCATTTCAGGTTGGTGGACCCAAAAGTCTCCCATCCCATCCCAGCTATATCCGCTGATCATGGCTAATCTGGAAGCTTCGGAAGCGCCGAAACAAAAGGGAAGGTCAGCGCCGCAGGGTCATTGGGGTCATTTGGGTCGTTCTCGCTCATGGCAGGGAACAAAAAGAGGTGAATTGGTGTGAATTGGGGAAAGGATCTTGAATTTTATAGTACGCAAGAATAAAAAATACATAATAGATTTAAGTATATATAATTGACTGCAGGTATCTTTGTCATTTTAGTGCTGAATTCTGGTGCCTATGAACCTGAGTTGTCTAATAGCACAAGCTTGAGCCGGCAGTGCGTTTCAAGAACACCTACAGAAACTCCCTGCTGATTGCAGCAAGAACTGTGGTCACACAGCCGACACGGGACCCGCTGACTGCAGGGAAGGAACCAAGTGCTTGTATTTCATCTCCGCGCGCAAGGTACCCGAATCCACATCCCACACCTTGCGTGTTAAGAAAGGGCTAGTTGAACTGCCCTTTCTACACCCACACCATCCGATGTGAAACCTCAGGGTGATCAGGGTGGCAGCGGTTGGAGTGGTTGGAGATCCACGTGGATTTCGCCACAGATGTCAACAACATGACTTGCTAAACCTTGACGTTCTATTGCCTACAGGCATGAGGAATGCTCCACCCAGCCAATTGTGGTTGAGGGATGTGGTTTGGGTGGTACATTGACATGTAGTCGAAGATCAGAATCACTGTTTGCCCAAAGCCTTGCTTGGCATTGCTTTTTGGGCTCCTTCATGCCCTCCCAATGTCCAAATGCTGATGGCTGATCTTTCACACTACATGGCTACCCTCTCTCATCAAAGCCAAGCTCATCTGGATGATATGCTTGACTGATATGCATCTCCCTTCTACATATTGGCCCAACAGGAGCGCTCTCAGAGGAGATATTTTTCTTATTTTTCTTCTTTTTCTGAGGCTCTCGCGTTCAGTCTGTGGTCATAGGATCTTTAGCATGCAGACTTTATACCCACGAGACATCTTATTCCAAGGTGACAAAGAAAACACCGTACATTGCATTACTTTGCGTGTGCCTGGACCTTGGGTAAAAAAGATGTTTGTCTGAGTACTCACTGCCAGACATCTTCTCAGATTGCCCAAATCTTTTCCAAGGTCAAACATTCATTGGGAGTGGTGGGAAGATCTATAGTCAGCACTTGCGAGGAACACAAAGGTACAAACACCCCAATGTTTTCCTGTTTTACCCATTGTTCAAACAAATTCTATACTCTCAGTAGGGTGTTTTGGGGGGGCCGCCCTGCAGGGAGTATAATTATATGTGTATATGTATGATGTATATATATATAATAAGATATAATAAGTAGGGAACGCTCTGCAGGTCGTATGTCTGATTTTCTCTCTTTTCAATGTTAGGCGTAGCCAGAGCAGGCAGATCCCAGAATTCCGTCCGCACACCTGCCCCACACGGGTCCACGAACTGGATCGAGTGAGGACTTGGACATGATGAATGACACGAAAATACACAAATCATTGCTGTTGCCATTTCTTCCAAACGCGCTGGTCATCTACCTCTCACTAGGTTGGAGGCCATCGCTACTAGTAACAAGAAGCTCCCTGAAACATCCTAGGTCCTGGGACCCTTTTCGACCAGCGCGGCACCGCAACGGTGGAGCTCTCAGTGACGGCCTTTCCGCCGGCCGCCAGCAGCGCACGAAGTGGAGGTGCCAAGGCAACAGCCAGGACCGGGTCTGGGAGAAGCAAACGTTGACGTTCAGAACCTCTGCCAACGTGTGGAGGGCTGATGGTTCCGGACAAACGCAAGTTTCGTGAGATGTGACGGTATTCTTCGAGTCAGGTCAAAGTATGTTTTTTCAGCTCACGGATTTAAAGGGATAAGTTCTCATCAGAACTCTCAGAACTCGGACAGACTGGTTTGAAGATCTGTCCAAAACGCTGGTCTCTCAAAACCCAGAGACCCCAGACCCCTCCATAGGAGCACCTGGGTGTATGCGACAACCTTCGAGTGAAACCGTGGATACAATGTATGTCGGGTCAAGAAGTAGAGGTTGTTGCTTGAAGCAAAGGAAGTGTTGCAGAGCAGTGGACTCAGTGGAGTATTCGTTTTTTTTCTCGACCTGCGAGTTCATTGAGATATGTTGACTCAAAAATGGGTCCCTTGATGCTTGCTTCTAACATGAGTGGAATATAGTGGAATTGGGTCTCCAACTTAACACTTGCGGGGTTGTCGGAGTGAAGACCTATGTATAGTATCTATTGTATAGGTATCTATGGGTATCTACAGTACACCGGTCCGCAGAAGTCAATGCAATCCCACCCATGAGACGCCGCGCAAAAAGGAAGTCAAACAAGTCAATGCAAAACAAATGTAAAACACCATCAGGACGCAAAGATAGCACTATGTGTTTTTGTGGTTTATCTTACTTGAACGCCTCAGAAAACTGTATTCCAGCATGTGGACGCACATTCAGCAATGATCAGGAAACGATCGAAATTGTATTTCTCTTGATTGAGTTCACCATGGGACGTCGTATGACCCACTCCACCAAAATGATGGTTCCCCAGAGCACTGATACTAATCCATTTGCAGGCTCCCGTGTGGCTTCGTGATGGTAGTGGTTTGACCATTGGCTGCCTTGAGGATGTGTCTTGAATTCCTACTTAAACACAGCAACCAATTCTGTCTAGGATTTCTCGCAGCAGCTGAGCAGCTGATTCAGGATTCCTCTCCGCAGCCTGCTTATCCTGCTTTAGATAATGTAGTTTCTGGTCAGGTTGCGGCGAGGAATCCTGAATCAGGCTGCTGCCAGAAATCCTAGACAGAGTCAGTTGCTGTGGTTAAGAAGGGATTCAAAACACGTGCGCAAGTAAGCAAATGGTCACACCACAACCATCATGAAACCACACTGGAGCATGCAAATGGAGTTTGCCTTTTTCCCTGTCCTACGCAGCTGCCTTCGATGGCTGAGCCATGTGCTTCAAAGACCTGTGTTTGCCATATAGGTCTGCAACCATGGGAGAGCCCATCCAAAAATCGCTCTGGTGCCTGGATTCAGCATGATTCTGACGAATTGCAACAGGTGGTGTAACAACTGCAGACCTTAAAAAGAGGCATGTGCAGTGCTGTCTGGGAGGATGTTGACCAACATCACAGCTCACATGGGTGCAGGATGCCATTTCTGCTGGTTCCTTCTCCTCATTTGGGACTCGTCTTGACCCACAGCCACCTCATCTCCCACACACGCGGTGCAAAAAAAGATTCCTTCATAGACCGTCAAGACCGCCAAGTAGCCAGAACTTAGGTCGATTAGAATCACCGCTCCAGAGGTGTCCCCAAGCAATAAGAGCCTGAGAGCCGGTTTGCATGGCTGGCAGTGGCCACCAAGTCACAGATGGGACAAAAGGATAAAAAAGGCGGGTCACAGGGGATTGATGGAGATTGGCTGCGGGCTTTGCCAACCACGAAGCATGAACAAGTCCTAGACCTCCTCAAAAACCTCCACGAAGTGATCACCAAGATGGCGGGCCCACGTCCCAAAAAGAGAGTGCTCGTCCTCTTCGCGCTATGCGTTACTCTACCCGGTGGGCTGTTTCCACCGATCGTGGCGACGTCGTCCCGTCGTCGACCGGTGTCGCCGCGTCGCCCCAGCTCCGCAGAGGCGGACAGCGAGGTGATCGGGCTTGAGGTCTTCAAGAGCGTCTTCATGGCGACACCTCGGTCTTCACGGCCGATTCGCACAGCTCTCAGCTTTTTTCGCACCCAGGTCGATTCATCCTGGAAGGTCGATGTGTGGCAAATGACATGAGGACACTGGATGAAGCGGTGGTGGACCAGTGGACCGGTGTGGAAGTGGACCAGAGTTCTTGACACCCGCGCTGAAGAGAAAAATCACGAATCCGCGCTGACCTGATCTATATGATGTGTACTTAGTATGTTTGATGTATTTTGATGTATTCTTGAAATCATGAGTGTCCAAAAGTACTTGATGGTCGACCGCTCAGTTTTTTTGAAGAACGTCCTGATCCAGGTTCATGGCTGCGGTCGAGAAGGCAACATATATAAGTGCAGCATAGTGCAGCCTTATTATGTGTCTCGGACAGCTTGTGCCTCATTGAAGCCTGGTTTCAACTACACATTGAGCCATTTGGCAGTATGCTGTCAAATCAAATCATGTGCAACCGTGTGCTTCTTTGAAGTTGATACTTTGCCACGGATGCCAGGCCATGTAAGCTTTTGGGGGACTGAAGGTGGTCACCAGGTAGTAGAACCGGTAGTAGAACAAACAGAATACAGAGAACATGCCCACCGTCCACCGTGTCGGTGGTCTTTATAGATCAGGACGGTCGTCTACGGTCGGTCAGCCGGCCTCTGATCTGCGTCCGAAGAACCAGGGCTGTGGACCTGTGGTGCGGAGCTGGAACAACTCACAATGACGGTGGATGATCCAAAGGAATTGGATACACAACAAACTCTAAGACAAAATGCCCAACCGAACTAGAGGTGCACCAACGAAAAAGCTTGTGTGTATACTCAGCTTTGGAATCGGCTTTCAAAATGCAGCCAACAACGCCTGTGCAAACATCCTCAACCAACTGGCTGTGCAAACATCCTCTGAAGCTTCTGCTGACTTTTTGAGGAGGTGTCGCGAGAATCTGGGAGCAGAACACTGAGCGTTTCAAGTTTCATCAGAACACTGAGCGACCAGGAAGGACCATGTCACGTGAGCGACCAACCAACAGTTCCTCAGAACCACGCGACAAAGAAGAAGGACTGTGATGAAACAAAATGATAATGTATCTTGCTATCTTATGCTACCTCGCCCTAGATGGTATGAGCAAGCTTCAGCGCTAGAGCTTGTGAAGCAAGCACTGGTGTGTTGTTCGTTTTTGCTGCAATGGTCTTCTATAAAAACACAGGTGAGTCTCGTTCGCAGCTTGTGAGGGTACAGGGCAGGCACCTGTGGGTGCCTGAGTTGGCCACTTGCTATATATAAATATCTCTGCCGGCGCAGCCGGCGCAGCTCTGAATTTTTTTGGATTGACAATTCAACATTATAACATGTCCTTCACCATGTCCATCTCTGACTACGATTGTGTCCAAGATTGTGTCCGTACCTAAAAACATGTCCTTCGAAAAAGAAAAAGATACAACGATGCTTCTAGCCAATGTGAAAATACAGCAAATCCTTGGCAAAATAGGTCATCACCGTGGACTTCCTCATGTTTTTGAACAAAAGGGCTCGCCACGCAGCCCACGCCTTTTGCACGGCTGGAGACGCTAAAAGCCAAGCTTTCATGATTTGCCTCAAGAATGGCTGATGGGGACAGCTCGTATGTTGATGTCTCGATCCATATGTTTGGCTTGCAATCTCTGCAGCAAGCATCGAAATCCATGTTTGCCATACCTAGCCTTAGACCTCTCCAACAAGCGTAATCCCCTACTTGCAGTATTAGAATTAGAAGGTAAAGTATTGTACTCGTGCAAACCATAGATGCCATTTGTCATGGTGGGGCTTCAGGAAGGAGGCAAGCTGTGTGTACAAACGAATGAGGCTCGGATGGTCATTGTCGGACACACCACGTCGAGTGGTTTTCTCCCAAACGCGTCGCGCGCGGCCTGGGCTCCCACGGTGACTGGCCATGCGGCACGAGTCGGAAGCATGGACGAGGAAGCCGAACAAACGAATGGACGAGCGGTTTGCCTCGTAAAGAAAAACAGTCTGATAGCATGGTGTAAAGGATTGTAAAGGTCTAAAGAAACACACAAAAACATAGAAAAATGGTCTCAAAAGGTCTTGTGGGGAAGTCATATACCGACCATGTCCTTTTTGCGGTCAGTGCAGCAGCCTGCCCAATCTTTCCAGTCCGAGTCCGTGGCCTATAGTGGTCTTTGGCTATCGATATCTATCGATAGTCCGTTGGTCTACGACTGGTAGGATGGGGATGCGCTGATTCATGGTCCGAATCGGATGGTGCTACTGAAAATGCAATCTCACCTTTGGCCACCAGCACGGAACAGCATGTTTTAAAGTGGAGACTTAATCAAACACTGGACTGCTTCAAGGCAGGTTTCCTACGTTTGCATCACATCTCGGGTCCGTGTGCTCTCTGGTCCTCTTCTCCACTTGTGTCCATACCCGTTTGCATGCTCTTTTCGCACACCCCGAGGGCCTCCGTGCCGCAATCGCTGTCTGCATTGACGCCCTACTGCGGTTGGATGTACTTTGACCCAACGTCCTTCTGCCAACCATGGTGCAATCCACTTTCGGGATTGCTGCACCACGGTTTCTTTCGATGTGTTTCAAAAGTTGCTAATCCGGAGCGCCGGAGCCATGCTGGGAACTTCCAAGGTGGGCCAGATCGGAGCCAAAAGAGCTTAAGGGCGCATGGCCGCGGGCTCCGTTCGCATGGCTCCGTTCGATGCTCCGTTCGTGCCGTCTACGTCTCAGTGACCTGTTCCGGCCCGACGCTCGTCGGGTGAAGCGCTCCGAGCGCTCGACGCTTCGGGCGCTTTGGCCTCGCGGGAGCGAAGAAAGAGACTGCAGGTGCCTCGGTCGGAGCAAAATGATGGGCACCGGACGAGACTTCTGTGGTTGGTCTATGTTGGTCCGACCGACTTCTGTGCGATCCAACTGTCAAGAGAGCCAGTGATCACTCTGATCCCTCCAAATGCAACTGTGAGCTTCTGAGAGGCCCGGACAGCACCAATGACAAAGACTGCCCAGGACCTGAGCAATCACACAGATTGGATCACAGATTGGACGTGTAAATCCTTCACTTGCAACCTTGCATGGAATGGAGGGGAAACTGAAATCATTCAGATTCACTCAATTCTCTCGATGTCTGTGGTCGACACCGTCGACCCCACAGACCCGGCCTGCTATTTCAAGCTTGCTATGGAACAGAACATGGCCAGTGCGGTGGTGCAGCTAATCCTCCAAACTGCTGGCTGATACCAAGTTCCCTGTATCATTCTATATCATTCTGATCCCAAGCCAAGCAGCAAGAAAGCCACCGATCGGTATGCAAATCCAGGTCAACTGCCTGAGATGTCAAGTCGCTGTTGAAAACACGCCATCAAAGGGGCGAGCAATGATCGAAGGGGCCCACTGTTTAACTCACTTACGCGCTTACGCATATACAGTCTCCAGATCCCCACAGCATCGCTACTTGTGCAACAGAAGGGTCGCACTGTCCTTGGGTCGCACTGTCCTTCAAAGTGTATATCAGCCAAGTTCCATGATGTTCCACGAAAGGAAACAAGTCAACGTTGTAAAAACAACAACTTACCTCGTCGGCTTCGGCTTCCACTCTGTGGGACAACGACTTCGTCCCGACTCTGAAGGCTTGAGTTTGGAATTGAAAGGCAAAGAAATCCATATCAGGATATATCAGGTCAGCCTGCTGTCCTGTGCCAACAGAATCAAAGCAGGGCTTTCGGTGCCAGGATGCAATTTGGTCAAGGACCAAAGCAGCCCGGGTAAGGCAACGAAGCTGATCATGGCCACAATGTGGTGGAACTTTTGACTGCGGGCGAATTCGGGTGTATGCAGATGCATTGACAGTCAGGAATTACAACCCACAACCTGGTTCACTCACAGTTGAAGCAAGCAAAACAGCTTTTGTGCCTTTCCTGTGACCTCTCAATACTCGTATACTATACCGTATATTATAGCGGTAGACATTTTAGAGAGGGCTTGTGAGGTAGGTGACAGCAGGGGAGTATGTTTCACTTTGATATTGTGTGATGTTGTATGACTTTGTCTTACTGTATCCATGATGGCATTTAAGTGAGATCCCATTATCTATGCATATCCATGAAATGATTCATCTATCTACCCATGCAGTAGTGGTTTCCGTAGAAATGCGAAAAGGACAATCATATTGCATAATATAGGTCAGTCAATAATGGCTCTATATATAGCTTAGCTTAACCTGTTCCTTTGATCCAAAAACAGACACCTTCTCGTCGGGGGGGGATGATCTCCAGGGCCCCCTTGGACACCGGCGTCTCCCACCTGGCCAGGACTCTCCGCGACTTCCAGCCTGTGGGACCGTGGAACCGGAAACGCGAAGCGTTCCATGCTCCGCGAATGAGAGACCCGCGTTGTTCGGCTGCAACGGAAGCGAACAATGCCCGCGAGAATGAGAGTAGGCCGAACTTGTGCATGAGAGTGCGTGAAAGAGATGGCCGCACTTGATCATACTCTTCGATTTGCTGAGGTGATCACATGAGATTAGGAGGATGAGAAGTGCAAATCCTCCAGATGCTGCTGCCAAACACCACCTTGGATGCGAGCGTGGTTGTGGTTTGAGAACCCAGACTGCAATTCACATGGCTTCAGCTTGTATCGGAACTCTCTTGCAACCCACAAACACAACAGGCCAGAAAAAATTAGGAAAATCTCATGGCCGAAGAATTTAGAACCTCCAAGACTTTCAGGTGCCCTTGTGGTATTGCATGTTGCTGGATCTCCGCCGCTGCTTGGATGCAGCTGGAACAAAGTGGGGCAAAAGAAAAGACTCTGGCGAAAGCAAAACCATGCAAAACCTGGATGAAATGCCCTGAGCAATGGATTTTGCATTCTCCATGTTGCATCTTTGTCTGCTGTGGATTCAGTGGATTGGGTCCAACATTCAACGTAGCATAAGGCATCGCTACTACTAGTAGGGACAAGGGCATGACTACGATCGCGGATCCGACACGATCGTTTTTACGGTGGAATCAACACGTCAACACCACGAGCGGGTCTCGCTCCGTGAAACCGTCGGTCGTCGAAACGGACGTCGAGTCGACGTTCGCCCGACGGGTCAGGTTACTGGCAGCTTCCTTGCTCCTGGTAGTAAGGCCAGGAGCCCCTAGTAGTTTCCTTGCTCCTGGTAGTAAGGCCAGGAGCCCCTAGTAGCTTCCTTG